ATATATATATATATATTCTTTCGCTTAGGAAAATTTAACCTACTGTTATCTGTCAATATTGTTATGTCACCTCATGAAACTTGCCATAGTCTCTGATTCAAAACAAAATAAAATATTTCTATCAAAACAAACAAATATTTTTTTGTAATTACATGTTCTTAATCTCTCAATTATTTTACTGTTTTATTTTTTTATTATAATAATTATACCGATTCATATGAATGTAACTTACTTGGTCGTATCTACTGACACCAGATTGTTCTTTGTTTAGAACTGGATCACAATGGTAATACACGGAATACATAATAAGGCCTAGAACATGGCACGAAAGAAATGATAACGATGCAGGAATAATCGTTATTAGAAATGTCCTGAAAAACAGAATTTTTGTTTCAGCAGAATTCAATTTTTTATAATATGTATTTTTAAATTATAAAGTATAAATTTGAATAAATTTCGGAATTAGTTCGAAAGACAAAGATTAAATTTAAAATCTTCTTTTGACTCTCTTAAAGACATAAAGTAATGTAAGTATACTACCAGAAATGATCAAGTCATTTGTTTTGAAACACAATATTATTTAAATCGCTTAAATACTTGGTAAAATCCCTTTGGAAAAAAGGCCCAAATCAGAAAACATAACATGGGTATACTGCTAAAAGCTATGTATACTGATTTGATTTTATATTGAAATAGGTAAAAGGTGTTTAAAGGGCTGGCTTACATCTCTGCGTTTTTTTTAATTATTGACCTAGTCACAATTAGAATTATATCCCAAATAGTTATATTTTTATACTTCTAAAATCTATATATATATATATTGATTTAAAATATAACAAAATAAATCTAATTTTGTAAATAAAGACCCTAACAAGTAATATGTGTTAGTTATAAGCTCGATATGGATATGTCCACCGTAGACCTACAAATGTGTGTCCACAATTGTTTCATGAAAGCAATTTTTTTGGTAAAGGCCATTATTGGCTCATTAAAAAAACTAAAATAAAAGCAGACTATATACATATATAATAAGTATATTCACGAATAATTTAGTCTTTCCTACTATTTAAAGCAATGGTCTTAAAAGCTATTTAAATGATTATTTAATTTTTTTTTCATCATAAAAATCCTGTTTTGTAATTTATAATTCTAATACAAGGTAATAGACGTTATTTATTTCCACAGTAGGCCCACAAATATGTGTCCACTTTTGCTCCATGAAAGCATTTTTTAGGTAAAGGCTATTATTGGTTCATTTAAAAATAGAAACAGAAGCTGACAATATATGATAAGCATATACATATATATATATATATATAATAAGCATATACATGAATAACATAATTTTTTTTTATTATTTAAAACCTAGAGCCGTGATGGCTCAGTGGAAAAAACTTTCGTTTTCCAATTAGGTGAACCGGGTTCGAATCCCATCAATGGCACCTTTCCATGTAGTTCAAATGCGAGTTAGTTCCATCAAAAAGTTCTTTACGAAGGCAACTTTTTCTCTTTGCTTAATCAAGTAGTTCCCTTGTCTTCTTTATAGGATTCAAAATTACAAGGCTACGGAATTTAACATCAGTAGTCGTAAACCCAAAAAATTGGATCTGCTGTTCAACGACGGAAACAAATTAAATTAATGAAAACAATGGCCTTAACAGCATTACATTTAATTTTTTTTCATCCTGAATACCTTGTGTTATAATTTACTACTTAACAATTCCACGCGAGATCATGTAATTGCATATTAGAGTGTGTGACATATTATTTTCCAATTCCGGTAATGAATACCCTGTATTTCCAAATGCTTAGGAAATTAGTGTGGCATATTATTTCCAAATGTTTAAGAAAATTTTGAACAATGATAATTCACCTGCGCACTCTATCCTTCTTGTACTCACGAACCAGTTATACAATCAACAGAACTTAGCTGTCTTATTTAATTCAAATTGTGCAAAAAAAATTAGAAATACAGTATTTTTCTCCCAACATAGTACATATAGTCAGTCCATCTAATTAACTCCTATCGCCATAGAGTCTAAGATTACCTGCAGCTACAGAGACGAGAAGAAGCAAATTTTAGCCAAAGGAGCTTTAGATACTTTTCCCACCGACACCTGTCAAACTTGTCTGAATAGTTTTCCCCACACCTCTACTTGTAATAGTTCCAATTCACAACCATAGTAACCTGTAGTACTCTACACAACTGACATGGGATATTCTTCGGATAGATGGACTATATTTTGACTAAGATATGCTTAATTCATAATCTCTGGTGTTGTATCATGTAGCTGATGTGTTACATTCTCTGCTAAGTATGGCCCTATTGCATATGAAGTTTATTTTTGAGTTACTACTACTTATACACAGATTTCGGATATCAGACGGAAATATGCTTTTGACCTTATTCCGTTTAAATGAAAGCAACTGAAAAACCTGGCATGATACCAATGTGTTTCTTTACTTAACCATAAACTTGCTGGCTACGAAAGAAATTTTTTAATGAATTATTAGAAGAATTGTTTATATATAT